CCCCGGGAGAAATTTCACCTTTTTAAACCTAGCGTCACCGGTTTTGGTATTCTTAAATTTTACCATAAACGACTTTCGCCTTTTTTTCCCCTTGGCCCCTTTTGAACCCCCCCCCCCCCCCTCCTCCTCCTCCTCCTCCTCCTCCTCCTCCACTCTCTCCTCCTCTCTCTCTCTCTCTCCCCCCCCCCCCGATCCTCCTCCTCCTCCTCCTCCTCCGTTCTCGCTCCTCGCACTTTCTGCTCCTTGGCTGACGTATCGCAGATGAGCTTCAAGGATGCACTGGCGAAGAGGACTGGATCTTTCTACACGCACACTGTCAAAGGCAGGAAGGGAAGGCCTAGCGAGTTCACCATCCGCGTTCCCTACAAGTGCTTCCATACTGGCAAGGAGACGATGCTGGAGGGTCACGAGCTGATCGACCAGGTGCGGGGAAGGAGGGGGGAAGGAGGGGGAGGGAGGAGAGGAAGAACGATAGAGGAAGGGCAGCAGCAGCAGAAAGCGATAGTGTCTGCGTGCTTCTGACAGTCTCTCAGATCGATCGCTGGGTGCAGTACGGGACCATCGAACCTGACTGCGGGGAAGCGATCAAGGAAGTGGTCAGGAACAAGTCTTGGTGTGATCTATCCAAGGAGGTGAGGAGGAGGGGGAGGGGGAGGGGGAGAAGGAGCATGCAACTAAGGGATTGAGAATGTGGAAATGGCAAGGAACGAGGAGGAGGAGGAGCGAAGACGAGGAGGAACGACCAAGAGGAGGAGGAGGAACGAGGAGGAGGAGGAGGAGGAACGAAGACGAGGAGGAACGAGGACGAGGAGGAAGGAGTTCTGATGCTGTGATGTCTCAGTATTTTGTCCTGCTCGGAGCCACAAGTGCCATGGGTCCGTTCCAACTGCTCAAGGAGCTTGGTAAGGGGAGGAGAGTGAGGAACGACAACATGGAGGAGGAGGGAGCAAGAAAGCTAGGAACACGGAGGAGAAGGAGGAGGAGGAGGAAGGATAATTGTTTTCATTAAGGCGCCAACATCATCGCTGTCGATCTTGATCGTCCCGGTAGGAGTCTTGATATGCCTTCTGCCTTCCCTTCCCTCTTTCTTCCCTCACTTTCTCCTCT